TAAACAAACAGTCATTAAGCAAGGACTACCTGCTTAATTATCCATTATTTGCTTTGCGCCTGTGGGAGAAGCCAAATCTAGGACCTAGCTATGCAGTTAATGGAAGCCATCTGCTTTAGGAAACATCATGTCATGATGGTTATTACAGCAGATAAAAGATGTGTTCCCCCAAGGTCCCTGGCCCCGTTCTGAACCAACGTTCCCCCAAACCCCCCGCCCCCCCCCCCCCCGATTCTGTCTCACTATCTGAAAGGAGACCAAAGCTGATGCCTTCTTTTGTAAATCTGGAAATCTGCAGACCTTGCAAGTGACTGGCTTCCTTGGTGGCCAGAATTAGAGGAGTGCAATATTCCAGTCCAAAGGGCAAAAAGGTGCCTTGGATTTGGCACAGCTCCCCTTGTGGTAGCTGTTGGCAGCTCCTAAAAGGTTCATGAAAATACCACTTTGAGCTAAGGAGGTCTTAAGGAGGAAGCAGAGCAGTGGGTTGCAAGAGGATTTTAAATGCAAGAGAACAGCTTGTTGTTTTTCTGATCTTCAAACAATGAAGACTAATGCCCAACATTTGGATTAGGAATGGGGTGCTAGCAATTTATTTTATTTCCCTTTCACGTGGAATGATGGTGAAGGAGACTTTGGCCACTTTGGGATCTGTGGTAGTTCAGAGAATGGATCCTTGCTTAGATAACTTTTCAGCATACTCCTGTCAGTCAGAGAAGTGAGCCAATTGAGTCCTGATGTTCCTCACACATTCTCAGCATTACAAGATCTGCAGAAGGGAGGATGGAGGGATTTGGAGTGGAAACCACACGTTCAAGGGTATTTTAAAGGGTAGGCCTTTGTGCTTAATTCGAATGTGGGCACTTATGTCTTGGGCTAGCACTGTCCAAATCCAAGGGATACTGGAAGTAAGTTCAACTGTTGTTGGGGAGACTTGTTCTGAAGTAAACACGGGGTACCAATGCATGGAGCAGGAGATCAGCCTGGAAGGGCAGCAATAGCACAGCCCACGCCTCCACTCCCGTTCCGCAGCTCTCGTGTGCCTTGGATTTCGACATCCAAAGGAGGGCGCTGCCGCCCACGGGCTTTGCGAAGGAGCCTCAGTCTTTTCCCCACAGCATCCCACCGGCCACTAAGCAGGGCGGCCCTCCGCCGCTCCGGTCCAGCGCAAGCACATTCGGCGGGGTGGCCGCGAAACAGCAGAGGGCGCTGCCGGACAGGTCCAGGCCCGGTGGCGCGGAGCGGCAAGAATGCAGCGCAAGGGAGGGTTGCTGACTGCTGGGCGAGCGAGAGGAGCTGATGCTGCAAAGCCGCCCGCCTTTCCCGGTGGGGACCATGAGGAGCGCTGAGCGGGAAGAAGAGTGAAGAGGCTGCGCTTAGCTTCGCCGGCCCCGGTAGAGCCAGCGCGCTTGACTATGGCTGGGGGAAGGAGAGGGCTGGTGGCTCCCCAGAACACCTTCCTGGAGAATATTGTGCGGAGATCCAACGGTAAGGAGGAAGCAGGCGGTGGTGCGAGGGCGGCCCGGCGTGGGGGAGCGAGGACCCACGGAGCGGAACCAGAAAGGGGGGGCGGCTCTTCCAATGCGGGGCTGCCCTCTTGGGCTCTGCCGGGCGATTCGGAGGGGAGAGGCTGGGCGAGCCTGGCTCCGAGCGGGGTGGGGACGCGGCGAGCTTTGGGCTGAAGTGATGCCTTTGGCTGGGGAGGCTTCCCAGAGCCAGGCGTCGCCTCAAAGTCCTGCAGAAGAAAGTGCCCGAGACGCCTTGGAGGGAGAAGCCCGCGAAACGTAGCTGAACCGAGGACGGGGGCGGCTTGCAGGTGCCTCCCGTGCAGGCTTATGGCTCCGGGTTGGGCTGGAAACCAAAACCATCCGAATCGGTTTTTGTGCCCCGGAACAGCCGTTGGGATGGGCTGCGAACACAGCCTCGTTGCAGCGGGGGAGCGGGTTCTTGGCGCCCCCTTTTCCTCGGGGACCTCTTCCCGTTTCCCTAGCCTTTCCACTTTCCCCACCCGCTTTCTCAAGGGCTGCCCCCTCCCTTCCCACCGAGGTTTTGGCGCTATGCAGACCTGGGAAGTCTTCTTTGCAGAGGCTGTGGTGAGATCCTCGGAGAGGAAGAGAAAAGCGGGGAGGGGGGGCGGCGAGGTGGGGGAGACCCTCTTTCAGGTCTGTGAGCTTCCTTCCAGACTTCGCATCTCTTACAGATGGAAACTATCTGGAATGCTGTCCAGAATCATAGCTAAACGCAATTTCATTAAAAAGTGCAGGACTCAAAACAATCTGGTGATGTCCTATTTCTCCCCCCACTCCTTGATTCAGTATAACCAACACGATTTCTTGATTTGCTCTATGTCATTTAAACACTTTATGTCATTTAAACACTTTATGTCAGTCTTATACCGCAGTATTAGAGGAGCTTAGAATACTCTTGAAGATGAATACCAAGAATGTATGATCTTGATGAACTAATATTAATCTCTTGCTGGCCTTTCTGCCTTTTTCTATCTTTATTCACCCAAGTAAGCCATTCTTATGCATGGAGAAGCTTGCAGATTTCAAATGAAAATCACAGAATCCAGACCATATTAGAAGTCATATTTATTTGTCCTGGGGAGAATATTGATTTGGAGATGTGAAGTTATTCAGACACTCCAGGTGGGCTCCAGAAAAAAATTAGGTAGCTCTGACCAAAAGAATTATTGGCACTGGATTAAGTTAGTGTCTAGTGATGTTAAAAAATAGTTTTAAAAAACACAATCAATTACACCTCTGCATTTTATCTTTGGAAGCAGAACTAGGAGATGAGAAGATTGGAATGATGAAAAAGGGACCTTGTTCTCAAATTTGGGAAGGCATTTCCTCCCTCTCAATTATGTGGCATAGAGGATGATCTACAATGCTTGATCTATTGAAACCTAGTTTAAAAGCCCTGAAGAAATCAAACTATACCAATTCTCAGCTTGATTTATACAGTTAGGTGTGGCTGTCTCTCTGCATAGGTCTGTTTTTAAGCACTGCTAATTAAGATGGTTTATCTCCCACCTTCCTATTTCCCTTCCCATAGTCAATAGTTTATTGCAAATGTAGTGTCTTACAGAGCTTCTGGTAACTGGATGGAAAGTGTTAAGAAGGGAATGAGGATGCTGTACTGTACTTTTATCTACTATATAGAATTTTTTAAAAAGCAGCTCAAGATTCTTCCAATCCTGAATGATAAGCTGTTCAAATTCCCCTTCCACCAACTTTTAAAGGTACAGTAGCCCTCTGCCTTCACCTGAACTAGTTTCCATCCTTCCTGTCTGATTAATTGCTGCTACATGAATGAATCTGGGTTCTTGGCTCAGGTATTGATGAAAGAGAATCAGGGCTGGGATCTAAATAGGGAAGGCATGCTGCTTCTGAATTTGCTGGAAAGTATTCAACAATGGGGTAATCAAGCAGATGTACTACTTTAATAACTTCCAGAAATGCTTTGCCGTGATTAAAAAAGTTACTTTGTTGGAAAAATGGACTTTTGATTGTTCTCCTTGCAAACCATAACCAATAATGTTAGCAACTCCTTACATGTCCTTTTAAAATTCACAGTATTAGTCTCCACAATCATCTTCCCAAGTGAAAGGTTTTATATGGTGGCAGAGGGAAAATATAATTAGTCATTAATTCAACAATGGCAAGTGGGTTATATTTCCTCAGATTATTTCATTGTTGTTAGATGGACATGCCATTTAGTTATTGCCAACTATTTAAAAAGAAACATCCTAGTGCCTGTCTTTGGTGTTTGAATAATATTGTCATTAAAATGCTATTTTGAAGAAAGCTCTTAGTAGAAATTGGCATGGCTGTTCTTCTAATCTCCTTTTCCAATAAAAGGCTGGCTGGAAACCTATTGCCCTTAATCAGACTTCTTCAGTGGCTGCCACAAAGTTCCCGAGTGGATTCTAATTCAACATATGAACATATCTATAGTTAAGATCGACGGCTGTGCTCTGCCTGCAGGTTCTATTGTCTTTAGAGACAATGAATGTAAATGTGCAAGAAAACTTTAATAATCGCAGTGCCCCATATGGGGAAGCCCCTATTCAAGAGCCATGCCCTCATCCAGAAGGCTTCATTCCATTTATTTTTTCTCCTGGCAGTTTGCTATACTCAGTTCTGCACATGTTCAGTTTCTCTCCACCCCAGTTTAGAATTTATTCATTATAGCTGTTTTGTACTTTTGAAAACAGTTGTGCTCCCCCAAGCCAAGTGATACTATTTCCTCCTTATGTGTGGGTTATACCCTTTTAGGTGCCCAAGAATCCACACACAGAAAATGAGCTCACAATTAAAATATAAGATCACCAGGAATCACTAAAGGACAGCCTGTTTTCAGTATTCTCACATTACCAACACTTAAGGAGCACCATCATCGGCCCTGCTACAGAATCTTTAATCCAAAACCCCTTGCATTAAAATGGTCTTTTATTAGGTGGCCAGATAGGTTTTGGAAATTTTAACTGGACTGCTTGTTAACTCTCATGAATATTGTTATCATACATTGAATATTTGTATGGTATATGTATAAACAAGGCATATACTTTTCTGTATTTTTCCATAACATTAGGGGATTGGGGACTGGATCAGTGGAAAAAGGATAGGTGAGGAGAATGATAAATTGGATGGGAGACCATGAGGACAACATCCAGGTCATGGGCTAGGGAGTCCTCATCGTACAATCCATTATATAAGCATTCCATGCCCTTGATCTTAGACTTCTTTTATGGCATCCTATGGTCACTAACTTCTAAGCTGCAGCTTCTTCCAAAACAAAGAAGTGGGAACTATGATGGCAGTTGGCAAGTATCTACAGAAGGCTAGACAGCCATTTCTCTGAAATATTTTAATTTAGATTCCTGCACTGAGTAGGAAGTTGTACTAGTCCTTCTCCAATTCTATGATTCTACGTGCCAGTTGCTAGACAGTAGGACAAGAAGGAAGGAAGTGGGATTGTAAAACTGGAGTTTGCTCAGATGATGATGGAAACCATCTTTGCTTGGAAGTAGGGAAGGTGGTTGTTCCTGTGAGGCAAAAGAATGGGGCTGTTCACCTGGAAGCTGACGAGCATAAGATGAATGGAAGCAAATGATCTATCTATTTCCCCCTGCTTCAAAAGGTTGTTTTTTTTTTAAAGCCCCATTAGGAGAGAGGAAGAATCTCTGGTTGAGGGGACACCATTCACTGGCAATTCATGAACAAAAGACAACTCCTTGCCAGATTCCCAAAACTCTTTACAATAATTTGATCTCTGAAAAGAATGCTCTGCCTCTTTCCCACAGCCTGTTTCTATGAGGAAGGAAAGATGGTGTGAGGGAGGAAGGGGATTGTGGGAAGAGAGAGAAAGAGGATGGTCCCATCCAATACTGGTTCTGGCTTTGGCTTCTGGTCATTTCTGCTCACCGGTTACCATTGGCACATGACTTGGCTTCCATCGGATTACTCCAGCAGGAATGCAGCTTTCAATAGGAAAATGTTGTTCATTCCCATTCAGAGTGTAAGCTTACATGTAAAGGAAATATATGTTATCCTTTACAGATAAAGGAAAACATCTCCCTTCCTAATGCCTGCGGGCAGGACGTGTTTTTCCAGTGAATGGGAAAACATGAGGAACTATCAGCCAGGGGCCCATCCAGTGTCAGTGAAGCCAGAGTCACTGATTGGTGGAGCCAGATCCAATAAGGGTAGAAAGTGATGAAACTGGGTGGAGTTTGTAGCATTGCAGGACTGCATAGTTCTCTCTCCCCGCCCTAGCATAGAGTCTTAGCATGTAAGAATGTAAACCTAAGAAAAGACAAATGTGTGGATTCTTTTGTATTTCAGCTAAAACTCTGGGGACCAGTTAACTGATTGGTACCACAAAATCTTCCTCATAGGCTTTGATTTTTGACTCCTCATCTCCAAAACCTTATTTCCAGATTTGCTACCATTTGTGCAGAAATGTTAATATGCCAAGGGACTGTAGGCAATCTTTTGCCTGAGTGCTTGTACTAATATTAAAAAGCCTGTGAATCAGCTTGAAGAATAAAGCAGCATTGGGGGTGGGGGTGGGGTTCTTCCCAGTGAATAAAAACTGGACCTAAAGAGGTGAGAGTCTGTATAAATGGCCACGAGACAGCCGCCTGGTAGGTATGGAAATTAGCTTGATTTTAAAAAGAAAAAGGAAAGAAAAAACGAATGGCTAAATCCCAAGTAAATGTACTTCTTGTATCATTATTTTGCTGAGATTAAACTGCATCCATCTTTGTGGGATATTGTGAGTTACAGTTGCTATTATCTTGCACTCCCACTATAAGGTTCTACTTGCACAGTGGAACACTCTACAGAGTGGGAAAAATTTGAATCAGTGGACTGAGAATTAAGAGCAACTTTTATTCTGCTGAAGTTCTGTTTCTTCTGAGGCATTTTTAGACAAAGAAATGAAACCATCTTGAAAAGGGCCTCCTAAAATAAGTGCTT